TAACAACTATTTCTACATGCGTCTGCCTCTATAACCACAATGTGTAGTGTCATAGAGGCAGGCACATGCAGAAATACTTAATGGCTGGAGGGTGATGAAGATTATGATCTTCATTTCAAAGGTGAGAAAAGGAAGGTGAAGACGAGAACAGAAGAGTAGAAGTAGTGTAGAGAAAAGGAGGTGAGGTTGAAAGATGAAGGTGGAGGGGTGATGGAGGAAAGGTTAAGAGAACTACTTGTTTAAAGGAGAGAGAAGTGGAGAGAGGAGGAAAGAATAGAAAATTATGGCTCAGCCTGAGCTGAACCTTCATCTCCTCCACCTTTGTGTTGCTGGGAGATTTTTTTGCTTTTGGAAGCAGCTCCAGATGCAGCTCTAGTTCGAGGCTTTCTTCTCCTGCTCTTTCACCTTCTTCAACTCTTTTACTTTCCTTTGTAATGTTTCCTTTGCTTCTTTTTCCTGCCTTTTCAGCCATTTGAGGGCTTTTTTACTGTCTCTCTCTGTAAGTTCAGTGTCTGCTATTTCTGTCTTAATTCCCATTACTTCCATCTTCTCCTCTACCAGTGTTGTCTGGACTTCCAACAATTCCTTCTTTCCATTTTCAGCTTTCTTCTTTGCACACAGTGTAAAGAGTTTGTCTTTGTAGAATGTTGTGAGTTTGTTTACTGAGTTTGTCTATTGTCACCTTCTTCTCCTTCAGGCTGCTTCACGTAGTTGCTCTTTCAGCTAGCAGATTTTCAATGGCCTGCATATGTCTTTGTGAATCCTCTTTTAACTGGAAGTTCTCAGCCTGGATTGCTTCTCAATCAATTCACAGATGATAGTTCGTGGAGCAGCGCTCACCAATCCTGTTGTTCACCTGGAAATGCAGCTACGTTAGAGAAGTTCAGAGTAGTTGATGTTTTCTTCTTCTCACGTTGCCTCTTGCAGACTGTAGTTTCTATCTTGTTGCACAACTACTTATGTAGACACACTTCTCTAGCAGTTGTAGATGTGGTAATGTGTCCACTTACTGACAAATCAGACAGTTAGGAGGAGCTAAAAATTTTAAATAGTGTCTCAAGTCTTTGTTTTCCTGAATGAAAATCAGTAATAAATACGTAAGTCCTAAATAAGTCCTAAATGCAACTTTATTGCTTGATTTTTAAAACCTTGTGGCTGCAAACAAAAATGTCGCCTCGTTCATGTTGTTGCGTTCACAAAGTTGGGCGTCCTTGTATGATGAGAGCAACACCCCGGAGGCGTAAAAACGAAAACTATCTTATGGAAATTTGAAGATGAATTTAAATGTCTCCCATGTCTTAACAATAAAGCTTTTATTTTTTTAATTCACACAGTTTTCTTCCTGCCTTCAAACAGGCCACACTTTATCAATATATCAGCTCTTTTCCATTCTTACTGACCAAAACGTTTACAGCACTGTAAACACAAAGATACTGTACAGCGCTTTACCTCTTGCACCTCTAATTTATCAGCAGAAGCCCAGTTTACTTGCATTCTAATCTTATAGTTTACTCTTCCTTTGTAAAATCAGCTGGGTTAAGTTAGCAAGTTGATAATTAGTTGCTTGTGCCCACTTCTCCTGATCTCCTGAGTCAGGGTGTGTCAGTTCAGCTGGTCGAACGATACCCTGGGTGTGTTGAACCTGATTCATACCACAGGGCTTCTGCTGAACAGTCTATTTGTTCTAAAGTTTGAAACGTGCTCTGCCTACACTGAACAGTACACCAAAAACATAAAAACCTCTCCTGTTGCCAGTGTTGGGAAGGTTACTTTTAAAATGTATTCCATTACAGATTACAGAATACATGCCCCAAAATGTATTCTGTAACGTATTTCGTTACGTTATGTTACGTTCTCAATGAGAGTAACGTATTCTGAATACTTTGGATTACTTAATAT